AGAGAGAGAGAGAGAGAGAGAGAGAGAGAGAGAGAGGAGATAGTGCTTTGATTGTAAGGCAGGGGACAGTCGGCATGGCCTGACATCACCCCTTGTGTATGTGTGACATTGGCTGTAGGGGATGGGGTACCTAGGATGATGTGAGCCCCTGTGGGTGTGCTGGGATTGGAACCTGGTTCTCTGGAAGAACAGTCAGGGCTCTTAACAAATGAGCCATAACTCCAGCCTTCATACTTCATATTTAGATGCAATCATAATTCCATATTGTGCAAAAACCCATCAGACATGGCAGGAATTTGTAGGTTGTATTTGCCCTCTTCCATGGAGTATAGGCAGAGATTTGTGTTAGGGGTCAGAAAGACAGTGAGTATGAGACACTTTGCACAGCCTCAGTGCAGGGAGGAGGGTCTTGGACCTGCCTCAACTGAATGTACCAGACTCTGCTGACTCACCAGGGGAGACATTGCCTTGGAGGAGGTGGGAATGAGGGCTGAGTAGAGGGGAAGGCAGTGGGTGGATGGAGAGAGGATAGGGGAATACGTGGTTGATATATAAAATGAATAAAAATATCTCTTAATAAAAAAAATATTTAAAAAAAAAAAAAGAAAAATAGTACCTGCAAGGATGATTGAAGAAGCCATAGGGAAATATATCCTGTTTATTTAAAAACACACACAACACTGAGGAAGCACTGACAGCCCTACTTGCTTCTCTGTGGAACTGTAATAAAATCCTGAAACCTGGAGAGTTTTCCAGGTCCTCATCACTTCTCAGAACAGCAGGGTCCACATGCTCTCCACACCACCCCACTTCCTGTTTTGCCAAACCTACAGAAGCCTCAAATTTCTCCAGTTTCCTGCAGGTGAGGTTCCAGCATTTCAGGATGAAGATGGGGTAAGTGTGCTTGACAGTCACTCCATCCCCTGATAAGTGAGGAACGTGGAACTTCAGAAAGAGACAGCAGTCCTGGGTGTGCAGTGGGTGAGCTTTGCAGCTAGTGATAATGTGAGCGGGCACTGTCTGCTGAGCTTAAGGCCAAATTCCCCTTCCTCACCTGACCAAGAGCACCTATGTGTTAGATGAGTTTAGGCATAAGTATTCCAATGACCACCCTCTATGTGGCACTGCCATGTTTTTGGTAGAACCTTGGTAAGGATGGTTGGTCCCTGTGATATTTTGCTCAAGATATCACCGTCTTTCAGGAGTTCAACCACGTCACTGGAATGTTCCAGAAATGGACAAACTTGGGAAGAATGCCTTGCCAGTGCTCTCCTTGCTGCATCCAATAAGAGCAGCTTTGTTTCTGTGGTGTGGCCCAGAGCTTGCCTTCCTGTTGAATTCAGATTGTCTCATGGACTGAGGGTTGGAAACATGGCAAATTGGATCCTGGCTGTATGAAGCCTCAGACCCTAGTTTGAGAGTCTGCTTCCTAGCAAGGGACCTTCTAGCATGTTGGAAAATTTTCAATCAAGGAAAGATTTCAATTAAACATTTTGTTGCATGACTGCCTACATTCTCCCTGAGATAAATTGTTGGGTCATTAAAGCTAAATGTACATTGACAAAATACATGTGTGTAATTGTGTATGTTATAGAAATGAAGTTATACCATTTGAGGTGATAAAAACTAACTGCAAGTATCATAGCCTAACAGAAACACTGGGGCCAGAAATGAGAAAACCCCCTGTTGAGTTGGTGAACAGGGGAATCTAAGGGACTCTCAAACCAGGAGAGGCCATTGCTGTTGTCCTTGTTGCCTCCCAGATTCAAGGTCAGACCCTTTAGGTGAAGATACCATGTACTTCAGACACAGGAATTGGAGGAATCGGCGTCTAACTAACTGAAAGCCTCCCTCCATGAGGACTGCCCTTCATAGTATCAGAAGGTGTTATGTAAACTGACAAGGTGGAGGAGAAATCTGTAGCCATATCCAGCTGCAATTCTATGAACTGCAAAAATGAATTGGCCTACAAGATACCTGCAATTGTGGCATCTTTATTCAGATAAAGCAATAACTTTCTAAAGAATATATGTCTGGTACTGCAAACCTAGACAACTAACCTTGGATTGAGGTCATGAACCAGTTAGTAGAAGAGAGCTACTACTTCCATTTTCCTAAACCAATGTAATATCTAACTGTATTCCAAATGCATAACCTTGTACCCACAAATATGTGTAGGAATTGACCTTTATCTAACCAGCTTCCTTCTTAAATATGAGACTGTTATAGAGACCCACAGCTGGTCAAAATGTAGAGAAGTGACTATGCTGTGCTAAATCTAGACTGATGAGATCTGCAATTGTCTTTTATGGGACAGGTAAGCTCTGCCTCAATGTGGTCACATATGCAAGAGAAACCTGACAACAGCAGTTCACGTACAAATTGGACAAAGATAATTCCACATGAACACTACTAGAAGAAGAGTTACAGATTGTCAGTACCCACTGAGAGAGGGAGAGTCAGTCTCCTCCAAGGAAAAGCTCCCACATAGGATGCTCAGTCCCCCGTGGTCCACCCTGGACACAGGGAAAATTGAACAAAGCTAACTGGACTCAGTAGATTATATATACATGTGTGTATGTATATGTACAAACCCACATGTACATGCATGTGGCTCTTTAAAGAGGTCATAATTTTCAGAGGGTTACATGGGATAAGCTGAGGCACAAGGGGAAAGGGAGTTGTCAGGAGAGATTGAGATTCAGTCTTCATGTGTGAGGTTCTCAAAAACCACATGAGAACAACAGCCCTTAAAGGACCTAGTTCTGATTGGGCAGGGATGCTGAGGAAATGTAAAAACTGCATCTGGGAATTTGAGGACTAGTTCCACAAGTGATTGACAGTGTTTTCCCAAAGTACAAGAAAACACACGAATGGAATAACTTTTGGAAGTTGCTACAATTGAGAAATAGAAGTTTCTGGATTAAAATGACCCATCACAAAAGCAGTACAAGGAATGGGGAAATCGGTGAGGAAAATAATGGATTGGTTTGGTAATGTTTTGTATTGTTTTAATTTTAGGCTATTGATGACAAGTACAGACATGACAAGCCATGGCTAGTTGATGATGCAACTTTTGAGTTTACAAAATAAAGGTTTTAACATGGACCTAAGCACTGGCATTAAGGAAAAGAGGAGGCTCTTAGGGAAATGCAGCGTGCACTCAAGACGTGGATGCTGGATTCTGTTTTGTTTTGTTTTGTTTTTTGAGACAGGGTTTCTCTGTGTAGTTTTGGTTCCTGTCCTGGATCTTGCTCTGTCGACCAAGCTGCCCTGGAACTGAGAGATCCGACTGGCTCTGCCTCCCGAGTGCTCGGATTAAAGGTGTGCACCACCACTGTCAGGCTGGATGCTGGATTCTTAAGAGAGCCGGGCTTTCTGTTTCAAACTATTAGTTGTTTGAAGAAAGGAATTTCTGAGGGCCTGTTGATGTTCCATTTAGGTGTGATCACAACTCAACTGTGCTCCAATATAAACTGATGACCCTTTCACGCAGGAGAGACTAGAAACAGACCAAACCCCAATTCTACCTTTGGAAACCATGTCTATTTTCACAACTGAAAGGAGACCCTTGAAGGGAAGTGTGGGGAATTGCAGACTAGCTGGGAAGTCTCTGCATAAAAGGCACAGAACAAGCAAAGACTTCTGCTCTAACCCTGCTCTCACAGGAGTCCAGGTGAGCGCCAAATCACTATAGAGCAGACCCCAGTCACGTGACCTCAACCTGACCAATGGAGTTCTGAATGGCTACCCAATCTGATTGGCTCAGTTCTGTACATGTTACCAATCAGGTCACAGAGCACGTGGTAGGTGGCTAAGAGACAGTTGGTGCCAGTTACGTGATGTTGAAGGCAGAGCTTTCACTTTGAGGACACTAGTGGCGGAGGCAGTGTGCACGGACGGTGTATTAAGGCACAGATTTGGAAGAGGAGTTTCTGTTCTACTCAAGCAACACCAGGTACAGCCTGATTGGCTGCTGTCTACTAAGACTGTTTTTCTTTCATGGGACCCACACTGTTTTCTTTGTTGTCAAAACCACTTTGGACAGCAGTTAAGGCCACCAGACCTTGTTCCTACTGGGTGGCTAATCAGGAGCCCAAGCCTGGATTCGGAACCACCTAGGACTCTGTGCATCAATCACTCTTTAGTCTAAAGAGTCTGTGGTGGGTGAGGTTTCCAGGATCCTTCCCAGGTCACTGTGAACCATACCATGGAGACCACTGTCCTATTCCATGTCCTCACTGGTCTGTCTTATGTTCCCTCAAATTTATCTTTTGAGACTGGTAAGTCACATGTAAGGTCATCTTGTTAGCAACTGTTTTCTAAAAAAAAGACTACATTTCATTTTTGGAGCTAAGGGCTTTTTGCCCTGTATCCTCTTCATGTTTTTCAATTTTTATATTAGAATTGTCCTTATGTTCAGTGATGAGCTCATCTTGATCATAAACATGGCCTTGTATATGTGTTGAACTTGCTGGAATGTTTCAATTACTTTCACTAAGGATTATCACATCTAGGTACACAAACTGCTGACATAATTTCTCTTTTATTTACATTAAGGGTGATTTCGTTCTATTAATTTTGCTGTTTGTGTGTTTGTGCCACAACACGGACATGGAATTCAGGGAAAAACTTGTGGGAGCCAGCGCCCTTTTTCTGACATGTGGGATAAAGGAGGAAGCTTGAGTCATCAGGTCTGGTTCCTGCAGGCTTTCTAGAGCATGTTATAAAGTCTCTTTCCTTCTCCCTTATTGAATAGTTGGAGGAATATTAGTGTTAATTCTTACTATAAGTCAGGTAGAATTCATACACGAATACATTCATACCAGTCTTTTATTGTTTGATATTTCATCATTAAAAATCTTTGTTTTTCTTAAGAAAAATTTTCCATTCATTTTACACACCAAAGATCCCCCTCTTCCCTCCTTCTGCCCCCCCATATTCTCCCTCACAACCCACACCCCACTCCTTCCCACAAGAAGGCAAGGCCTCTTAGTGGGGAGGCATATCCAGTAGAGGCAAGTCCAAACCCCTCCCCCACCTCAAGGCCACAGGAGATGTCCCATCATAGGTAGTGGGCTCCAAAAAGCCCACTCATGTACCAGGGATGGATTCCAATCCTACCACTAGAGAGCCCCTCAAGCAGATCAGGCTACACAAGGGTCTTGCCATGCAGAGGCAGGCAAATGGATGGAACTATAAAATATCATCCTGAGTGAGGTAACCCAGACTCAGAAGGACAAACATGATATGTACTCACTCATAAGTGAATACTAGATGTAAAGCAAAGGATAAACTAGATTATAAACCACAACTCCCAAGAATACGGTAGCTAACAAGGAAGACCCAAACAGGGACTTATGGACTGTGCTGGAAAAGAGAAATAGATGAGATCTCCATGAGTAAACTGGGGATGAAGGGAGGACAATGGAGAGTAGGGGACAAGGGATGAGAACATAAGGAAATGGGATGGTCGAGGTGGAACAGGGATAGAGTGGGAAAGCAATGAAAATCTTTTAGACAATACATTTTGATTATCTTCATCCTGGTTCAATTCCTCCCAAACACTTCTTACCTTCCTTCCCATCTAGCATTATTGGCTATCTCTCTATTAAAAATTGAACAAAAGAAAAATCAAAATAACCACTCAAGACCTATAAAATGCCCAAAGTAAGGGAAATGATCCCAGTAGTGTACCAGAATTCTATTGAGTTCATTTAGTGTTTGCCAATAATTCTAGGGCATCAGTCCTACCCAGAAGAGTGGTTAAGATACCCAGTGAGAATCCACTGGAAAAAACTGATTTTTTCCTTTGCCATTAGGAAACAATTGCAGGTGTCTACTTGGCTAGGGATGGAACCCTGTGTCAACTTCCTCTCTTCAGTGCTAGAACCCCCATCTGGATTGAACCTTTGTATACTTGTGTGTATTGCTACTGTCTGAGTTCATGTGTTCATCAGTCCTGTAATATCTGAAACACACTGTTTTCTTGGAATTGTCTATTACCTCTGGCTCTTAGTATGTTCCTATCTCCTCCTCTGAATAGCTTCCTGAACCTTGAGGGAAGATTTTCATGAAGCCATCCCATTTAGGACTGAATATTTTAAAGTCTCACACTCTCTACATTGTTGTGAGTCTCTGTTAGTTCCATCTCCTGCAAGAAAGGGTGTAACTGGTGTGGGCTCTTACACACACACACACA